GGTGCTGTGATCCTGAGAGTCACTCTCTCCTTCATCTTGGAGAGGAGGGATGAGGTCTCTGACCTGCCCAGGTTTCCTGCCAGTGGCCCAGAGCTTGGGACCCCTAATCCAGAGCCCTTTGTGTCCACTCTACTAGCCAGTGTATAAGGCCTGATTACTCTCATGGGGTGTCTTACACACACACACACACACACACACACACACACACACACGTTACCTCCACAGTTAAGGCTGAGTCACAAGGAGGCCTGAGGCAAAAGTCCCTGGTATTTATGGTATCTTTATTTAAGAATTTAATATTTTGTCTACATGGATTTTTGGCACTAATTTTAACTTCATAATGTATCACATTAGAATATCACATATCATGGTTTTTTGGCACATCCTTGATAATCGTGTGCCAGGTTAAGTGCCCTCCTTGCCCTGTCCCTGCAGCTCCCTTCCCACCTGCCTCCCTGCACTCTGTGGAGGTGACTGAAGTCTTTTCAGCATAACCCCAGGAACCGTTTCTCGGTACCTCCTGAGCTCCCCTTCTCTCCTGCGGCTTTACCATTACTCTTATTGCTGGCCTTAATGGTGAGTATTCTTTCATTTGTAACTAAGGGCTTTAAAGGCCACCAGGAAGTGCCAGGTGTGTGTGTGTCCTGGGTGCTGAGGGAGGTGGAGCAGAGGCAGGAAGTAACTTGAAGTTTACTTTGGAGGTGGAAGACAGACATTAAAGGTTAGGATGATGGTCAGGCAGTGGCATAGCAGGAACACAACTGGATCCACATGGGCAAAGTCCTGGCTTCATGTCCTGATGGGGACTTCCCTGAGCAGGCCGGACATGCACATGCACAATGACTGAGACTGGGAGTGGATTATGGTGGGAAGATGCATATCTTGCTGAAGAAATAAATGAGCAAACTTTAAAAATATTAGAATAAAGTACAACAAACTTTTCAAACCACATATAAAATACTATGAGTATATACAACCAAATATGTTGCTCTGAGTTTGTTCAAGAAGGAAAGAGAGAAGAAAAGATGGGAAGAAAGGAGAGAGGGAGGGCTGCAGAGGGAAGGGCCGGCTGTCACTGGCGGGGGTCCCATGCAAGAGAAGGAAGGAGGCAGCAGAGATAACGAAGCAACGCCTAGCTTGCCGTTTTCTCCTTGCTGTCCTTGTTTAGAACCTCTCGTGTCACTCCCCATAGCTGGCAGGCTTTTCTCCTTTAAATCTATTCTAAGATACTAAGGAAAATGACCCTTTACACGACTCTTTACACTTCATTTCTCCTCCACCAGGGCACAGGCTGGTGTGTGTGCTGATGCACGTCACTACTACCTAATGACAGACACACCAGCGGTTCTGGACCCGGCTGTACTTTTCCTTTTGACTCAGGCAGTGAGGGGAGTTAAATGGCACTTCATTATAATCTCCTGGTGAGATGTTAGTCACGGCATATTTTAGCTTAAGCCTGAAGGAAGTTGAGGTGACAATGTCAGTCCAAAGTCAAAAAAGCCATTGAACAAACATGAACCATCCCCAATCTCCTTTACAGTTATCGATCGGTAGGCATCTTGCTTTGGGTTGTGCCATCTCACTTTTGGCTGCTAGTCTAGACATGTTTAAGACCCAGGGTACAATTTTGGGGGATTAATTTTCTGTTGTCTTCAAAGAAGTATTGACTACCCAGGTTGGATTTTTGGTGAAGTGTGCATGAGCTTGCCAGAGAGAGACAGAGAGAGAAGCAGAGAAAGAGGGAGCGCCACAACCCCTTCTCCTCCATCTTCCCATCTTGTTGGGATTTGGGACACACACATACGTGAGTCTGGTGTGCTTTGCGAGCAGCTGGGGCCAAGATTTGAACTGCACAGTGGGGCCATGTGGGATCTGGGTCCTTTAACCAATAAACCACAGAACTGGCCCGAGAAATCTTTTTAGTCTGGGATTTGTTTCCATGCAGTGTGATAATCTGGGCAGATCATTAAACCTCTCACGTTTTTCTCCCATCATCCTTCTTTGGAAACCTTCTCACCAAATTCCTACTTCCTTATTCCTTGTGTTCTTAGGCCTTGTTATATTTGTTAGCTTCTTCCTTCTTGATCTTGAACACATCCAAAAACTAAATTTTATGTATTAAAAATGGTTTCTTAATAGATAAATGGCCAAATTCAGGTCACCAGATGATGTAGAGGTTAAGGCACTGGATCCCACATGGCCACCTTCGATGTTTGAGCTCCCTGAGCTTGAAAAACATGTTGGGTACATTTGCATGTGTGCCTGAAATCCCGAGAGGAGAATGGAGAAGGGATTGTGGCATGACCATCCCCAGGGGGGTGATTTCTCATTTTATCTCTCCCTGTCTCTATCTGTCTCTGTCTGGTGAGTACATGCATCCTATAGCAAAAACTGCATAAAAAAGACCAAAATAATTTTTTACAAAAGTAGAAAAACCTAAAATTCATATGAAACCATGAAGAACTCTAAAGAGCCAAACCAATCTTGAGAAAGAAGAACAAAGCAAGAGGCATCACACTTCCTGATTTCAAAATATGTTGTAATTAAAACAGCGGGGTACTGGCATGAAAATACATGTAATTAAAACAGCGGGGTACTGGCATGAAGATAAAAATATAGATCAGATGAGCAGACTAAGATCCTAGAAATCAATCCACACATATATGTTCAGTTCGTGTTCAACAAGGGTGCCAAGCATACACAATGGATGAAAAGATAATCTCTTCAACAAATGATGTTGGGAAAATTGAACATCCACCTGCAAAAGTCTGAAACTGAACCATTCTATTACACCATACGCAGAAACAGACTTAAACGTAAAACTTGAAACTGTCAAACTGCTAGAAGAAAACAGAAAAAAGCTTCATGGCACTGTTCTTGGCAATCATTTTATGAATATGATACCAAAATTATAGGCAACAGAACAGAAAGTAAGCAAATGGACTTTATAAAATGAAAAAGCTTCTGCACAGCTGAGGAAGCAATCAACAGAATTAAATGGTAACCTATGAAAATAAGGTAGATAGTTGCAAAGCATATTTCTGATAAGGAGTTAATTTTTTTTTTTTTGGAGAGGTTTTTGCTATAGAGCGTGTGCACTCACAGGAAAATGAGAAATCACCCCCCCCAGGAGGGATGGCCACGCCGCAATCCCTTCTCCATTCTCCTCTCGGGATCTTGGGCACGCACGCACATGTCCATTGTGTGAATTTTACATGACTGGATCCAGGATTCAAACCACTATTGACTATGTGGGAGTCCAGTGACATAACCATTACATCATCTGCTGGTCCCTGACCTGATGAGTTTGAAGCCAAGCAAATTTGGGTTAAGCCATTTGTTTTTGCCTTCTGTTATTCCTCTCAGATTTATTTACACCCATTTCAAAATTTAGTTATCTAACATCCCTGCAATGGGGAGGTGGACATGGAGGCCAGTTCTCATGACTTTTGGGTGCTCTTCTTTCTCACATTCTCTGTTCTGTGCACTGTTTACAAAGTAGGACTGGGATAGGAAGGCCTCCTGATTGAACAGCACAAATGCAGCCTTACCAGAGCTCAGCATTGTCTTGAATATGTTGATATCAAATTCTGAGACTACTAGGCAAATTTCTTTTTAATTTTTAGTATCTTAAAACTAAAAGTAGGTTCAACCATTGTGGTGTAGGTGGTAGCCTGTTAACGTGCGGTGCTGGAAGCCATATGGTGACCACGGTTTGAATTCCTGGCTGGGTCAGCCTCCAACATATGCATGGTGTGGGAGTGCCTAAGATTGAGTACTGGAAGAAGTGGATTGCTGGTGGCATGGTGGTTAAGGGCGCTGGACTCCAACATGGCCAACCACGGTTTGAGTCTCAGACCTGGCAGCTTGCTTCTTCACTTTCCCTCTCTTTCTTTCTCTCATTCTGTCCCTCTCTGGTCAAATTTAAATAAATAAATAAATAAATGTAAATAAAATAATTCTTAAAAAAAAAAGTGGATTGCAGAGTGATCAAATCCAGTGGAGAATGTGTCTCTTTTTTCTTTTTGTCTCTGCCTTTCCTCTCATGCATATGTACACATGTGTTCATGATCTCTCATAAATAAAGAACAATAAACAGATTTTAAAGCCCTAAAATTATAACCATTGCCTTCAGGTAAAACTCTGTCTTATGGTCTCACTATTTGTATAATTCGATGAAAATGCTTAGTGCATGGACTGGAGAGAGAGAGGAAAAGCCGAAAGTGGAACATCCCCCATATTTTTCACAGTCTTGGACACAAAGAAGAAGCAGTTCTCTTTTCCCCTAATCAGCAAAAGAAAGCTTATACTAAACTTACTTCTGCACCCTCAGTCCCTGATTCCTGTAAATTTGCTGGTGGACGGTTAAAATAATAAAGCTTCCCAGCAGTCCTTCTAGCAGAGTGTTAAAGTAATCCAGGTATTTGAAGGCACGAAATGACCCAACTTAATCTCTCAGTGGTTCAGATGTAGTTACCTGGACCAGGAGTGTGCACACGGTGTAAATATTCAGGTCAAGTGACAGAGCTCAGCTGAAATCCAGAAGTCCAGACTCCAGATTTAGCTTTCCATGGAGGAAATGCTTTTAGAAACAGGACCAGGTTAAAGCAGAGATTAAGGGACCAGAAGAAAGCGTGAAATTGCGTTGCTGCAGCATTCTGCAGACTCAGACTTGGACTTCTGTTCAGCTTCTCTTTGGAGATAAAAATTCCTCAAATTCTTATCAAGAGCATGAGCAATTGCATGAGTTCTATGCTCTTTGACACTTGCCAGAATGATCCCATCCAAGGTTATGTGACAATGCTACGTGAGGGATACAGGATGTATTTGGGTATTTTACGTGTGTAACTTTATCATTTTACTTCACAAAACCCCAAACTCCCCAAGTGCCTACAGGAGAGTCTAACGTAGAATTTGACAGGTCAAGTAAAATGCCGTCCTTTACGTCCTTGCCTCATTCTTTGTTCAGCACTTCAATCCACTACGTTGTAGTGACTGAAATGGTTTGGGGTGAATAATGCTGGACCACGCTGCAAATTTGTGACTGAGAGCTGGACCCTCGTCATCGCCACGTACTTTGTCACTGAGGCAGGGTAACCCATGGTTACTGAACTCCATCCGCTAAGGCGCAGGGAGTTTCCCCTCCCCACTGCTCTATAAAAGAAACCCAGCAAAGGGACCCTACCAGCTTTTAGCTCTCAGCCTGGGCGAAGGTGTGGGAAGGAAAGCCCAAGACCGCTGGGGCCGCTGAGCAGACAATACCAGCTGCAGCGGCAAAGTCAGCATGTCACCCAACTTCAAACTTCAGTGCCACTTCATTCTGATCTTCCTCACGGCTCTGAGAGGGGAGAGCCGGTACCTCGAGGTGAGCCAGCCCTGGACTGACCTCTTAACACCCTCCTGGTATGAGTGTTCAGGTTGTCTCTGCGCTCAGCCTGTTTGGGATGCGCTCCTTCTTCCCTCTCTGTTGGGTACTCTCTTTCCTAGTTACCCCTAGACCCAGCTTCCTCCCTGACCCAGAGCACCCTGGAGTGCCTGCTTTCCTCTGGCTGTTGGGGACACTCTGATCCGATGGCAGGAGTCTAAGACTTTCCGGTCTTCTCTGGACACTGACCCCCCCGCTCTTCATTCGCTTTGCTGGGTGGCAGGGAGGGTTCTCGGCTCTGACCCCCTTTCTTTTTCACCCCTGGAACTATTCCGGACTGGCACGTTTTCCCTGCCAGCTTCGGGAAGCGATGGACTACGACCCTTTCCTGCTCCTCAGCGCCAACCTGAAGCGGGAGCTGGTGGAGGAGCAGCAGCCGTACCGCCGCGCTCTGCGTAAGTCGGGCTGCAGGGTTCGCGCCCAGGAGAGCCAGGGAGCTGGGAGGCTGGGGCTCCGCACCGAGGGCTGGAGGCTCGCTGGCATCGCCGGGAAGGGACTGGCCAGGACCAGAGGCGCGTTTCCCTTTCGTAAGGATCTGACCCTGGAGGCCCGCAGAGGGAGTGGAGGTGGGGGATAGAGATGGGGTGATGCGCCCCGGGATGCAATCCGGGAATGGGGCGCGTGGAGAGCGGCTGTCCGAGGCCAGCGCCGCGGCGGCTGTAGCTCAGGACCCCGGCCCCGTGCCCTCCCCCAGGGTGCTTGGACATGCTGAGCCTCCCGGGTCAGTTCACCTTCACCGCAGACCAGCCGCAGCTGCACTGCGCCGCCTTCTTCATCGGTGAGCCCGAGGAGTTCATCCCCATCCACTACGACCTGGTCTCCATCGACTGCCAGGGCGGGGACTTCCTGAAGGTGAGGCACTCAGGCACCGCCAGCCACCGCCGGAGGGTGTGGGGTGCGGAGGGCGCGGAAGGTTGGAAAGGGCTGGGGTGCTGCGCCCAGCACGGACAGCGGCTGACGACGCTGACCCTCCGCTGGTGTTTGGGGCGGAGAGGCGCTTTCGGGGACCCCCACGTGGCAGGAATTCACCCCAACACCAAGACCTCTCCCCACTTCCCCGCACCTTGGTAAGGCTGGTTGGTGTCTCTGGAAGCGGCAATGGTATAAATCCCCTTCTATGCGCTTGGGAGGCCCTGGGAACTTCTAAAGACGAACTTGCAGCGCGAAACACTGTGATGCAATCGGTGGCAGGTGAACTACGACAAAAACCAACTACCACAACCGCTGGAGTCCACTCGGAGGCCGGGCCTGATGCGAAAGCCTGCCCCGCACGTCCGAGAAGGGAGCTCCTCTCTTTGGTCCCACCCTGGGCAGAGCTGTTCCCAGCGAGGCCAGGCGCAAGGGCAGTCTTCAGGCCTGGGTGATCAGATTTCAGATCTGTAGCAATGGCGGCTGGGAGGAATGCTGAGGGGGTTTCTAGGGTGAGACAGGTGGGAAGGAGGTGAAGCCCTCCACCTCACAGCATCCTCACTTCTAGTCCGTCTTGGTCTCCGAAAGCTAACAGGTCAGTTAGGAGGGTGGATAGAGCTCTACTGTCCAGCTAAGTACTAACGATGATGGGATCAGCAGTTGGCGTAATGGCTATGTCGCTGGACTCCCACGTAGTCGACTGCGGTTCGAGTCCCGGACCTGGTAGCTTAAACTCACGCCGGGTGCGTGTGCATGCGTGCCCATGATCCCAAGAGGAGAATGGAGGAGAAGAGATTGTGGCGTGGCCATGCCCCCCGGGGGGTGATTTCTCGCTTACTGTCTCTCTGTCTCTGTCTGTCTGGCGCCCTATATAGCAAAAACCTCTCCAAAAAAAAAAAAAATACTAATCATTACACTTCGAATGCAGAAATAATTCTGGAACCTATCAGAGGCATTAGAAATAATTTATAACTGTTGGGAATTTTAATAACGTGGACTAGATCAAACTCATTAACTGGAGACCTGTGGTGACTTTGACAGTAAATGGCTGTTGAACCCTTGACCCTGACCCACTGTCTAACTACAAGTTTTAATAAATGAAGGAAAAAGTCCCAAGTTGCTTCCCAAGGGTTATTCCTGACTGTTGAAGCAGTTTTTAATATATTTTTAGAATTATTTAATTTAATTATTATCATTATTTAATTTGACCAGAGAGACAGAAAGAGAGAAAGCAATCCACCAGGTCTGGGATTGAACCATGGCCCGTCATGTGGGAATTCAGTGCCTTAACAGACCTGCTGGGCCCAGCTCTTAATATGTTAATGTAACAGGATAGAAGAGGAGAAAGAAAGAAAAAGGAAAAAGGAAAAGAAAGAGAGAAGGAAAATAGGTGTATATAACTATTGGCAGGTAGTTACTGCTCCAGTTTTTTCTTTGCCATCTGTTTTTGAAATATTTTGTTTATAGTTCAATGACTAGAAGAAAGAGAGGCATTAAGAAAACCCAAGTTATGTTTCTGTAAAATTCTTTTGAAGGCAGGATGTAGAAAATTTGACCAAGATAAAAATGTATAATGCCTGTAGTTTCATTTACTGAGTTTGGTAAAATGACAAAATAAAGCACATGGAAACTTATTTACTTTGGAAACTTTAAGGCTTATACAGAAAAAAAAGCATCAACTAATATTATTATTTGCAAACAACTCTCACTGTCAAAATATATGCAAATGAAAAGCAAACAGGCAGGGGAGTGCAGGCTGACAAGTCCTCACTTCCAATTGAAAGCCCTTTACTGAATAACCGTCTCCCCCTTCTCAACACACCCATGATTTCAGGAGATGATGGAAGTGACCATCTCTGTCTGTACTTTATTTATTCATTTATTTATTTATTATTTGAAGGTATTTGATGGTTGGATTCTCAAGGGAGAGAAGTTTCCCAGTTCTGAAGACCACCCTCTCCCCACAACTGAGCGGTACATAGATTTCTGTGAGAATGGTCTTAACAGAAGGAGCATCAGATCCTCCCAGAATGTGGCCATGATCTTCTTCCGGGTCCATAAACCAGGAAATGGATTCACGATAACCATAAAGACAGACCCTAACCTCTTTCGTAAGTGGGTTTCCTGTATTCTCCAAAAGCAGGGCTTGGGGGTCAAAAGTGCCTTTCTTTTGTTCTTTTCTTTTTTTTCTTTCAAGAGAGCTATGCTCTAGGGCATGTGCACTCGCTGGAGAGACAGAGAGAGACAGAGAAACAGAAAGTGAGAAATCCCCCCCCTAGGGGGTCTGGCGAAACTGCAGTCCCTTCTCCTCCATTCTCCTCTCCTTGGACACACATGCACAGAAACCCGGCATGAGTTTAAGCCGCTGAGACCAGGACTCAAACCATGGTAGACTACGTGGGAGTCTAGTGACATAACCATTGCCACATCTGCTGGTTCCCAAAACTGTTTTTCAAAAGTAGTATTCTCAGGGCCAGCAGGTGGTGTAGTGGATTAAGGTGCTGGACTCCCATATGGCCAACTGTGGGTCTAGTTCGACCAGTAGCTTGAAACATGCCAGGTGCATGTGTGTGCATGCCCAACACCCTGAAAGGAGAACAAAGGAGAAGGAATTGCAGTGTGGCCATCAGCCTGAGGGATAACTTCTCACTTTCTCTTCCTGTCTCTGGTGAGTGCACGCACCTGATAGCAAAAATATCTCTTAAAAAAATATTAAGTAGTAATTTCATACAAAATTAAGAAACTTGAACTGAGGCCCAGCTACAGCTGCAGGCAGTAGAGAGCTCTTGTGCGGTACTGGAGCCATGTAGGAGGCTCAGGTTCAGATTCACGGTCAACCTGAACATGTCCGGAGGACCTGTACACACTCACTATATTGACCGGCTAGGTGGTAGATCAGGAGAGGATCACAGCATGATGAAGCCCTGTCAGGGGTACACTTATTCCCTTTGTGAAAAAGGACAGAGGGGAGGACCAGCAGTTAGCGTTATGGCTATGTCGCTGGACTCCCACATAGTTGACCGTGGTTTGCGTCCCGGACCTGATGGCTTAAAACTCACGCCGGGCGCGTGTGCGTGCGTGCCCAAGATCCCGAGAAGAAAATGGAGAAGAAGGGATTGCGGCATGGCCATCCCCCCTAGGGTGTGATTTCTCGCTTTCTGTCTCTCTGTCTCTCTGTCTGGCGAGCGCACATGCCCTGTAGCAAAAAACTCTCAAAAAAAAAAAAAAAAAAAAAAAAAAAAGGACAGAGGGGAGAAAGGAGGGATGAATCAAACAAAAAAACCCAGATATTTTTAATATTCTACCTTTACTAAAAGAAAAGAAGGGAAAGAAATTTGAACTGAGGAGTGACTTGAATGGAAATTCTTTTATAATTAGAAATTACCAAAGTATATTTTCTATTCATTATTCTGAAAAATCAAACCACAATTTTTTATTTATTTCCCAGGCTAGGTAGTATATTAATTTATGGTGGATACAAGTCTGTTATCATTAATAATCAGCAAACATTTCTAATAAATAATAGTAGGTAATTTAAGCCTACTGTCTTTCTAGTTTTCTGAGTTTATTTCTGAGTCAATATTATGACTCCTTTTTTCTTAAGATAAAATTATTTACTTTATTGGGACCAGCAGTTGGTGTAATGGCTATGTCACTGGACTCCCATGTAGTGAACTGTGGTTCAAGTCCTAGACCCAGTGGCTTAAACTCACACCAGGCGCATGTGTGTGCAAGATCCCGAGAGGACAATGGAGGAGAAGAGATTGAGGCATAGCCATCCCCTCAGGGAGTGATTTCTCACTTTCTGTCTCTCTGTCTCTCTCTGCCTTTCTGGCAAGTGCATGAGCCCTATAGCAAAAACCTCTCTCAAAAAAAAAATTGTTTTACTTTATTATCTAAAAAAATAACATTATGGCTCCAAATACTATCAGTGGAGTCTCCCGATAGGTTTTAATTCTGGCCTCACCTTCAAGACTTGATTCTTCTATTATAGATTCTTAACCAGAATAGGTCCTGAAAACTAAGCCCTAGTTAATGGGCATGTTCTTAGAGCTACTACCAGCTAGTATTGGTTGTTTGGTTATGACTTATGTCTTGTGATTATTATAAACAAGTTATTAAGATTAGAAGCTCCAGAGTCTGGCAGGTGCCATGGTGGTTGGGGCTCTGGATTCCCACATGGCTGACCACAGTTTGAGTCCCAAACCTGGTGACTTACTCTCTCACTTCCCCTCTCTGTCCCTCTCTCTGGTCAAAAATTAAATAAATAAATAAATAAATACACAAAGTTGAATAAATAATTCTTAAAAAAAAAAAAAAAAAGATTAGAAGCTTCCTCACAGCCCACAGCCTCCTGACAATGTCCATATATAACTGATGATTTTTATTCTACAACTCCTTCCCATCTCCAAATTGTCTTTGTGGTATATGTAGAGTCCACAGAAAAAAATGAAATTAAAATATGAGTTTATTTTAGTCTTCCCCCAAAAGACATCCATAATTTTCCCTAATATGCTATTTTCCATGAACTTTTTGAAGATCGTTCGTATACTCTCTTCTCTGGCACGAGGTCCTAGACCATCAATGGGGGCCTAAGATAAGAATACAATATATTCCTAGAAGAACCAGCAAACTATGAAGACAAATGTGATTTTTTTCTTTCCTACAAAGCCTGCAATGTCATTTCTCAGACCCCAAATGGGAGGTTTACCCTGGTAGTTCCACATCAGCATCGAAACTGCAGCTTCTCCATCATTTATCCCGTGGTGATCAAAATATCTGATCTCACCCTTGGACACTTCAACGGTCTTCAGTTAAAGGTGAGTTTCTTACTTGTTTCCCAATCATTTGTAAGGCCACAACTTTCTCAGAGCCAAAGCTCATCCAAGGCAGGCCTGGACTTAGCAAAGCGGAGTAGCCTGTCCCTCCAACTGGCTATCGCATCTCATTTGTGCGTGCCCTTGCTGCCTAACTAAACCCCTCTTCTATTTTGGTAGTGCTGCAAGTGACGTGCTCAGGTGCCCATGCCAACTCCTTGAATGCTTCTCTTGTGTTAGAGAAACATTTTCAATCGGTGAAGTTGCAATCTATAATTACAATTGAACTCTCTTGTACTTGCTTCTTTTACAAAAATTCTCTCCTAGCAGAACCTCGGGTGAGTCATCTCTGCACAGCTGGTTTTCTGATTATTGGAATTTTCTTTTGACACGAAGGAAGTATCTCATCGACAGAACTCTGTTATGAAGGAATGCTAACGATAGCATAAAATACTAAATTGGATTTTTATATCACAAAATATCATAAAGGTTTGAAGAGTATTTTGCATTATATTTAATTCAATACACTTGGCCTCAAAAAATATTAGCTGAGAATCCCTATCAACTTGTTTTCAGATGAACTCCTGTATGGACGTTAAAATTAATGCAGAACTTTACTTGCATGTCAACTTCTTCCCTTGAGTCATCCTCATTTCCTTTTACTTTCTCATTGCCGAGGTGAAGATTACTCATGTATTTGCTGGTATCAAAGATAGTCACAGTTACTAATCAGACAGATGTTAGTGAAAACCAAATAAACAGGACCAGGACTGGAAAAAGAAGTACATCCAATTTCCTTTAATCCCTGAATTCATAGACCGATGCCTATTTTTTCCCCCAGTTGTACCTTAGTGGAAGAATAATCTTTTGATAAGGACGACATTGGATGTCTTTGGTGTAGCCTCATGGGCTTGATATTGTTTGTATGTCATCCTTGGTGACTAGATGAGAGGTGTGACAGCAGATTGGGAGATCTGTACTTCAATTATTGAGGCTCTAAGGAGGATTCTTGGTGTTTCCGCCCTAACAACCCAGGGCCTACAGTGTTCTAGGTAATCTATCTCTTTGCAACATAGTTATCATGCACAAGATATTATTCTAGACGCCAGAAATCAGCACAGAACAAGACTGGTCCTGCTCACAGGGAATCTGCACCTAGTGGGATGAGACAGGCAGAATTATCATGTACTTCAAATGGTGCGCGTGGTACAGAAAATGCAGCAGGCTGTGATGGACAGTGACTGAGAACACTGGGATGGAGTGAGGGGCAGGAGCTATTTGAGATCATATAGTCAGGAAAGAATTGTTTGAGGAGACATTGAAAGTGAGACTGGGAGCCAGTCCCCAGCATAGCAGTGAAGCTCTGTGCATAGGGGACTGGATCCCATATGGCTGACCAATGGACTCATTCCAGGATTGGATTTGCTGCGTTCCAGAATGGAAAGAAGGTAAGGTAGAGGAGAGTGGTATAGAGTAGCGTCAGGAAGATGGACAGGGCACAGTTTCGAGAGCTCTGCAGCTCACATTAGGGAGTTTAAATTTATTCCAAGTGCAGTGGGAAACCCCTACCAGGCTCAGGCAGGAAAATAACTGGTCTACTTTACACGGTCTAAAGCTCATTCTGGCTTCTACACGATGAACGCCATAACCATAACAGCTGACGGGACCATTCCACTCCTTTCAGTTTCTTCTGATTATTATTAATGTGCCTATCAAGATGACTTTCTTACATAAAATACCCAGCTTTCTTTTATGTTGGAAGGTGAATTCTACCCATATAACTTCAGTTTTGCACGTGGAGCCAGTGTGACGATTTTACGTGTGGTACAAGGAGTCTAGGTACTACTTTGCAACATTGTTGTAATCTAGGCAAGAGGTGATAGCGTCTAAAGACCTCAACGAAGAACTTAAGGGGATCACTATTGAGAATGTAGGACTATAAGACCCAGAGAAGTCTTATTATTTTTTTTTAATTTTATTTATTTATTTAAATTTGACCAGAGAAGGACATAATGAGAGAGAAAGAGTGAGGAAGAGGGAAAGTAAGAAAGCAAACCACCAGGTCCAGGACTCGAACCATGGTTGGCTATGTGAGAGTTCAGTGCCCTTAACCACCATGCCACCTGCCAGCCCTGAGAGGTCTTATTTTTAAAGAATTATTTTATTTAACTTTATCTATTTATTTACTTATTTATCTTAATTTGACCAGAAAGGGACAGGGTGAAAGAGTAAGAAAGAGAGAGGGAAAGTGGGAAAGCAAGCTGCCAGGTCTGGGTCTCAAACCAAGGTCAGTCATGTGGAAGTCCAGTACCCTTAACCACCAGCCTTTCCTACAACTCACTTACTGCCATTGTTTATAAGAAAAGCTGAATGGCTAGGAAAGAGGAGAGAAAATCCACAGAATACCAAGAAATAGGTGCACCCAACTTCTGTGTTTCTTTGTTTTGTTCCCCTCATTTTAGTTCCAACTTCTTTATTTCTCATATCTTTCTCCCAAGCCTGCCTTTTTCTCTTCAGCACCACCTGCTGAAATTTGGAATCTGCAAAACCAAGTGGAAAGTTTAGTCTTAAGAGATATTCCTGGTGGACATCCTCCACTCAAGGGATAGGCAATTTCCTTCACCCCTAAACAGCTTACTTAGAGCTCAGTACAAGAACATGAAGCCCTATACACAGTGGGGCTAATTAAGACTCTATTTCATCATTTGATGAAATTACGTGTAAAGAATCTACATAAACCAGAACCCAACACTTAGTAGGCCCTTTAAAAATATGTATCTTCTCCTACTTCTCTTCTTTAGTCAAACAATTGCCATCCTAATACTATTTTCTATTTTTTTTTTCAGTTTCTTGTATTTATTTATTTATTTAGATTTGCTACAGGGCACTTACACTCACTAGGATGGGGGAGGGTATTGAGGAAGCACCCACCAGGGGGATGGCACACCACAATCCCTTCTCCTCTGTTTTCCCCTTGAGATTCTGGGCACGCATGGACACAGGTGCATGTTCCTCAAGCTGCGGAGTCCAGGATGAGAATTCTGCAGTTAGCCATGTGGATTCTGCCACCCCCAACCACCACGCCACCAGCTGTCCCTATTCTAGTTGTAGTTCAGTGTTCTAGATATCTGAACATGTGTGCTTATATGTATGTGCATGTATGTTTAAAGTTTTCTTTTTAGATTTGATTTTTATGTTTTGGGATCAATCTAGTTAACTTGCGAGCACCCTGTCTCACAGGTATGTGTGGGTCACCCACTGATGGAATAGTTTAAGCAGCTAGATCCCGGATGGCTAACTGAGTAGTTTGAGTTCCAGACCCAGCAGGTTAAAGAACACTGGGTTGTGCATGCATGCCCAAAATCCAGAGAGGAAAATGGACAAGAAAAGATTGTGGCATTTGAGGGAATGATTTCTCACTTTCTCTCTCTCTCTGGTGAGCCACACATACCTGATAGCAAAAGTAACCCCAAAAAGTACATATTAAGAATTTTAAAGACAGTGACAGTGCAACATCAAACCAAGTCCAGGGCTCTTGTGAGCATGGGCTCCATTTGGCTACACAGGGTCATGCCCAGGAAGCCAGCCCTGGTCACAGAAGATGGGTGGCCTGAAGAACAGCATTTGGGACCGAGGTCAGGTGCTTTGTCTATGCGGCAAGCTGAGTGAGGCACAGGAAAAGGTGGTTCCAGGGAATCAAGAAAAATCTTATAATCAATTCATCTTTTGAATGGCTTAAAAAATGTGTTTTAATTGAAAAGAACAACTTGGGTCAGCTGGTGGTGTGGTGGTTAAGGTGACTCGATCCCACATGGTGACTGCATGGTTCTGTCCCAGACCCAGTGGGATGAAAAAATAGACCAGGAGTGTGTGTGTGTGTGTGTGTGTCCAGAATCTCAAAAGGAGAAATGGAGGAGACTGTGGTGTGACCACCCCTGGGGGTGCTTTCTCACTTTCTCTCCATCTTTTTCTCTTTTGTGAGTGTATGCACTCTCTAGCAAAAAGAAAAAGAAAAAAAATGGAGAAAGAGTAGCTAACTTGGGTCCCAAATCAAGGTTTTACCCTTTCTTTAATGCAGATATTTGACTTTAACTCTGACTGCATGCATTAAGACATACAAATAATTTAGTGTGTATGTCCAAATGATCTGAAAGGCAAAGCATTTTCAAGTTCGATTTTCATATTCCTTATATGGAGTTGACAGATTCCCATTTCATCATTCTAGTCCTGGAGCTTAAGAAAAAAAATGCACACACATTTTTAAAAAATGATTACTCAACTGATTTAGAAAAGCAACTCTTATGATTTTTTTTCTTTCAAATGTCGTTTAATTTCCGGAGTCCCAGATGTTAAATTAAATGGCATTGGCAGGATGCTGAGAGCTGATTGAGTGAATTCACGGATCTGTCATGGGTCAAATGGTTTGACTTCCACAACTGATTTAAATGTATCTTTCTCTGCTGCATTATCCTCCTAGAAATCCTCAGCAGGTTGTGGGGGAATAGGAGACTTTGTGGAATTGCTGGGAGGAACTGGTCTGGACCCTTCCAAGATGATGCCTTTAGCTGATCTCTGCTATCCCTTCCATGGTCCTGGTGAGACATTTCTTTGACTATTATTTGTGTACCTATTAAGATTATTTCCTTAAATAAAAAACCTCCGATTTTTTAGGTGTCATCCAAGAAACTTCATGTTTGCACATTGAGCTAGAAGAAGGATTTTACTTTGGAGCCTATGTATAGTATCAAATCTATTATTGGAATTGTTGACATTAGGCAATGTATCTATGAAATGAGAAGGATAATTATTTAAGGTTAGACTCTTAAGTAAAACTATGAAAAAGATGAAGTTTTTTCATTCCATGCCTCATCCATCTTCTTGGGGGTTCCTGCTTTCCTTCTCTAGAGACTAAAAGGTTTATCTACCGAATGAAAAACTTATGGTTCAGACAGATGTATCATCGGTTAGTAATAACATGTGTGTGTGTGTTTGCTTATGTGTATGTGTGTGTGTATAATTCATAGCAAACGAGTGTTAAGCTCATGTCACAACGAAGTAATAAGCTTTATGAGAAATTCTCAGAACTGCTGGATGTCCCCAACTTCTAGCAGGTACACCAGCCTCACAGAGACCCCTGCGAGGCAGAAGTAAATTCTGAAATCTGAAGGTGGGCGCCAGTAATAAAGACTGGCTTAGTCCACAGCGTGGCGAGCCGAACTTGATCTCCTTTATCGGAGACCAGTGAGGATTTTCCCATTTGATTAAGCTCAAGTTGGGTGTGGATGTGGGGTGTGCGGGTGGGGGAGACCACTGACCTCATGTCCAAACTAATCAATGAAGTCCAGGGGAAGAGGGAAAAGTATTACAGGTAAAACGTGTCTATAAACATCACTCCCAAAGCTATACTTCAGCTGCAGTAATCTTAGGTTATCTTTAAAGAAACAAAAGTAAAACAGAAAAGAAAGAACACCGGTCTCTAATCTCATAGTTAATGTGCACTTTCTGAGCTAATGCTGGGACCTTAATAAACAAAACAAAACAAAATCTCAGAAACAGAATGAATAGAGTCAGGTAAGCACTAAGGCCTGATATGTATTTCCCCTCCCCTTGAAATATACCTGTATTAAAAATATCAGATGAGGGACCAGCAGCTGGCGCAATGGCTATGTCGTTGAACTCCCATGTGGTCGACCACAGTTTGAGTCCTGGACCCATTGGCATTCTCATGCCAGGTGCATGTGCGTGCGTGCCCAAGGTCCAGAGGGGTGAAGGGATTGCGGCATAGCAATCCCCCCCTCATCCCCCAGGAGTGATTTCTTACTTTCTATCTCTCTGTCTCCCTCATATATATATATATATCAGATGAGATTTAAGGCAGGACTGGGCTCAAGACAAGCTTTCTAATAAAGGTAAAGGCAAAAGATTTCTAAAATCCCACTTTGAAAACCAGAGGATTCTTTTTTGTAATTTGACATTCGAGCCCTGGTTTAACCATCGGTGCATGCACCATCTCTAGCCCTTCTAAGGCATGAATTGTCTCCAGGCTAAGCCTTGGATAGCACCTTTCAGAAGATGTACTTGTGTTGGATAAGAAGATTGAGACTAAAGAACACTCCTACCTTAAAATTTAGAAAATTGGACCAGCTGGTGGTATGGTGGTTAAGGCAGCTGGATTCCACATGGCCAACTGAATGATTAAAATCCCAGATCCAGCAGCTTGGAAAACACACCGGCATGCATATGTGTGTGCCCAAAATCCTTAAAGGAGGGACAAGTAGAGGAAAAGAGATCGAGGTATGACCATCCCCCATGAGGGACTACGTTCTCACATGCTTTTTTATTTTTGTTTCTCTCTAATGAGTGCACTGCCCTCTGGAAAAAAAAAAAAAAAAAGAATGGCCTTCTAAACAAAGTTAATAACAAAGTTAATCTTCCTAGTAGAAGCCTAACTGATTCCCTGGTACTTACCTTAAAATAACGATAAGGACTAGTCTCATGCCTAGTGGTTAAGGGAACTGGATCCTATAGTTAAACCATGGTTGACCACGATTTAAATCCCAGCCTGGTGGCTTGAAAAACACACCAGGTGTATGTGTGTACATGTCCCAAATCTTGACAGAATAGAGAAATAGAGGAGAAGGGATTGTGGCATGACCACACCCATTGGGGAAGTGTTTTCTCTCCCTCCCCATCTCTCTGGCAATTAAGAAAAATATAATAATTACAAGGTTTTATACTTACTATGCATTTCAATGGATTTTTACTGTAATAACTCTATTGAACAGTTTTGCTTCATTTTATTTGTTCATCTTTGCTCTATGTACATGCCTGCCAGAGAGACAGAGAGAGAGAGAGAGAGAGAGGAAAAGTGGGACATTATCCACCAAAGGGGATTGCCATGCCACAATCTTTTCACTTCTATTCTCCTCTCAAAAATTTGGGCGCACATGCACCTGATGTGTTTTTCAAGATGCTGGGCTGTGACTTGAATTGCACAGTCAGCCATGTGGGATCCAGTCGCCTTAACAACAATGCCACCGCAGGCCCTGTTTTGCTTCAGTTAAGCCCAGGTACATGTTTGTAAAGTATCTGTTACACAATGTTAACTTTTCTTGGAATTAGAAACATATTAAGAAGACAAAGTGAAGAAAGAAAAGAAAAAAAATTAAAATGATAGGAAGATAAATATTGTCTCAGGAGCTAGCTTGAAACTGGAGAAAGAAAAATAGTTGTTTTTTTTTTTTTTTAAATAGAAATGTTTTTGCTATAAGGCATGTGTGTGTGCTTGCTGGACAGACAGAGACAGAGAGGCAGAAGGTGAGAGATCACCCCCTCCTCAGGAGGAATAGCTGATCCCTTCTCCTCCAGTCTCCTCTCGAGATCTTGGGCATGCATGCACATGCACCCAGTGTGAGTTTTAAACCACAGGATATGGGACTCAAATAATGGTTGACTATGTGGGAATCTAGTGACATAACGATTATACCATCTACTGCTCCTCAAATAAAGTAAATTTTAATAAAAAATAAGATCTATATATAAATGCTCAGGCACACATACACTAGGAGAGATATAAAAGTCAGATGCTTACTCAAATAATTAATAGTATTGGATTGAAGAGAAGTAGGGAATCTCAAAACCCATCCTATGTAAGAAGTACAGAAAAGATGAGAGAAAAAAAACACAGGTTGATAATAGAACCCAAAGTAGTATATTCATTGTACATCTATACCATGAAAATGCTTTTTTTTTTTTTTTGAGAGAGATTTTGCTGTGGGGTGTGTACACTTGCCAGAGAGACAGAAGGCGAAAAATCACCCCTCAGAGGGGTTGGCCATACCATAATTCCTTCTTCTCCGTTCTCCTCTTGGGATCTTGGGCATGAATGCACATGTACCTGGTGTGAGTTTCAAGCTGCAGGATCTGGTACTCCAACTGCAGCTGACTACAGGAGAATCCAGTAATGTAACCATTACTCCATTTGCTGGCCCTGAAAAAGATTTTTTTATATCTAAAACAGTGATTATCTAAACAGTGATGATCTAGATTATCTAAATGATAAGCAGGTGATGGAGAGGGTCTACATAAATGTCCACCAGTTCTTTCCTTTCTCTAGCCCCTGCCTTGCAGTGCCACCTGCAGCCCCAGTTATTGTCACAACCAAAAACCGCCCCATAATTTACCTGCCTGTTTCTAGAGGGTGTTACTGTCCCCACCAAGAGCATGGAACTCAAGCCATGGTGCAGAGCAGACATATGTTTGCCTTCGCCAGCACTGGCCACCCACGCCTCATGGGCAGCATGTGAAGAAGCCAGAAGACATCTACTTGCCTCTTTTCAGCCAGTTTTATGTGGCTAACAGTGCTCTCACACATGGGAAGAGAGGCTAAGTTCAATTTCACTATTATATTATATCGGGTCATCAGAAAAGTCGTAACATTTTTCTATGCAAAAATGCGTCATGACTTTTCTGATGACTCAATATTACAATGGTATATAATAGATATGTAATATAGAATCATAATTAATATTTAAAACATATAGATGTATATATATTATATAATAGATATTATAACTATATATTTTAATAAAAATGAAAATAAAAATGTATCTCCTGATATCAGATGCATAGTTTGAGCACATGAGAAGACAATATATTATCTTGCTTTTACTGCATTTAGATTTTTTAACAGTCATCAGAAATGTAATTTCTAACTTATGGACATTTTTTTAATCAATTATAGCCCAAATGAAAATCAGCTGTGATAACACTGTGGTGCGCATGGTCTCCAGTGGAAAACATATAAATCGTGTGACTTTTGAGTACCATCAGCTGGAACCATATGAACTGGAAAACCCAAATGGAAACAGTATCCAGGAATTCTGTTTGTCTAGCCTTTGAATAACCAACCCAGTGATGTATGTGCTGCTAACTAAATGAGCTTTTAATGGCTATTGTATATGATGTCATTGATCAGCTAGTTGAAAACCTCTCACACCAATCAGTATTCCCAGCCTCGAGCACACACCTGAGTGTGCACACACACACACACACGCATTAATTTTTGTATTTTGCTCCTTTTTTGTTTGCAATATATAAATGAACATAAAACAGAAAATAAGCTCCTATTTGGTGGGGGAAAGTTTTAAATGAAGATGTATTAATAGTTCCTTGACTTCTTACAAATGATTTGGTAAGATAAGCGCAAAGCAATGTACAACAAAAAATTGTATCTCAAGGGAAAATACTACAACGAAGATACTACTAAAAGGTGGCATTCACATCAATTTTGTAAAGGAAAAGAGTTTAAACTCTTGTGATACCAAAATAGTTGTATCTTTTGTTCATTTTCTGTGTATTATTCTATTTTCCTAAATAATAGTTGTAGCTATTATTTATTGATTTGTAACAACCTGTTTTTAACACAACTTAGCATGGAAGTCTTCCATCCACAAATATAAACATGGATAAATATATTCAGAATGTTGGCAACTTTGTGATTTATTTGCTTTCCTAAGTAGTCCCCTCTCTCTCATCACCATCAGAAAACCAAATGGTAACATAAATGGTTTTAGACTTCTTAGAGCAAGTAGACCCTGGACCACTGGAGTAGACTTATTCAGAACAAGGTAGAATTGCAGTGTCTGCATAAGTGACACTAACTGATTGGTCCTGGTAGGGAGATAGGGTGTGAAGACTGATTTTCCACTATCCTACAAGAAAATTTAGAATACATGTGTTTGTCTTACTTTTCAACAAAGATAGCAAGGACCTTACAACTCTCATAGATAAAATTCGTGGAACTCTTGAGTACAGGCACTTCTTTGGCACAGAAGGTAGTGACTGAACCTTGTCCATGTTTGGCTGGAGACTAAGCATATGGTATGCAAAAGACATGTTGGAGCAGAAAATGAAGTTCTATACAACAAAGGATACACCCCTCTTTACTTTGAGCTCATGGATGGAAGCTTCAAACTCTGCCATAACTAATGACCTCATTACAATTCCTGAAACATATCTAATATAAAGTTCATTAGTATATACCAGGCCCTGTAAGGGTACTCCTGCCCCAGCCTCCCAGCTAACTGAGACTAGACGCATGCACCGCCAGGCCTTACCTGGTTCCCATGTACCTCTGCTCACAGCTGAGCCCTATCTTTAGGCTCTGCAGTGCTCTAGGACCAAGACTGACCTTGGGCAAGAGGAATGTGAATGCTCTTGTCTAATGCAGTGGTCACGAATGAGTCATCTCATAAATAATCTGTCTTGACCACTCTTGTGCCTCATTTCCCATTTCTTTATCTTCCCAGATCTTCATTACTTCATTCTAGCTCTTGCTTGTCCTTAGTCTTACCTGTCTCTTCCTCCTAGGTCTTCCTAAATGCTAATTAAGCGACTTGAATTCTATTCTGAGCATATTTTCTCACAGGATTTATGTCACTGTGAATGGCTCATCTTCTGGATATTTTCTACCTTCTATAAACCTGCTTCTGCCTCTGTCTCATAGACTGCAAGCAGTCTTGAAAAGTTTCATGAAAATGTGTATTAAGGAAAAACTATGGTTTAATTTCAACTTTTTTTGTGTGTATCAAGTGAACTTGTACCCTAATTCTATTTTCCACAAATTTCTATTTTCCTCTAATATTGTATATGGAATGCCTCAATCTCCCCATGGCATAAATCACACTTTTTTCTAATATCTAAAGCAACAAGTCTTTTTCACCCCAACTGCTTCCTGGTGCTGTTGATTCATTCAAATGGGTGGGGTAGAAATGCTAAGTGTTCACAAAAACTCATTTCTTCTATTTCCCAAGTGTATAGCTAGACTATATCTTCCAATGTCCCTTATAGTTAGGTTTGGTCATGTGACCGAATTCTGACTGAAGGAATGTGGATAAAATGATGTCCACCTCATGAGTTCTGTCACACTTCTACTCCTTCCCCATCTACTGGCTAGACACAGAGGCTCTAGCAAAGAACTCCAAGGCCATACAGGAAGACAAAGCCATAGGTTGCAAGAAGCCTGGATCCCTGAAGGACCACATGGAAGGCTATCTCCTGACCAGGAATGTCCACATTGGACTATGTGCTAATGAGAAATAAACTTTTATTTAAGACTGAGACAAATTTATGAACATTGAATGTTACTATATTTCATACAATGGGCCTATATAAATAAAATTCTCAACTATTCTTAATTTTTTCTATCTGGTTTTGCTATAATTATCCAGACAGACCTGACCTGACTCTCCTCCAAGAAAAATCCCTCAAATACACAACGTGATCTCAGGAACTCCAAGCTTTAAGTGATGTAACCCTACTCAACTTTTCTACACCCCTTAAGTAGAATAGTCATCCTTAGCCCCTTTTGAAAATCTAATAGAAACTATAGGTCATCTTCCAGGAAAGAAAAAAATGCCCATATACAAAAATACCCATGAGTTCAATGATCTGTGAGACCCGAAGGACTGCAGGTAAGTACCTCTGCTCTAGGCTTTAGTTATAGATAAAAGTCAGTTTTACATTAGTCTTCTTCATTGAGTTGCCCTCTCTTCAATATTGGTTAAAAATATTCATTACTTAACTTGACTGCAAAACAGAGTCACAATAGCAACTTTATCTTTCTGCTTCTATATTTTGCTATCTCATTTTGCCTCTTATTAGGTGAATTTTTCTTTATCTGCTGTGTAGTATTTTTTCCTTGAGGAGCAAATACACTTGACTCAGAACAAATTTCTGTGACAAAGATTTTTTCCAGATCTCTCAACCTCAAATATTCATTTCTTGCTATTTAATGAGGAGCCAATACTGCCAGACTTTGTTTACAAAATATAATCTTCATGAAAGAAAAATAAAAACTGTATGGAAATGATTTACTATCAGGCAGTTTGTTTATGTGCTCAAAAATACGTTCAACAGAGAGTTACGGGAAGGAGATCCTGTTACAGGGTAATCGTATGAAATTATATCTGAATACACGCTCACCTGTGCAGTGGAGTGTTTCAGAAAAGAGAAGCATTTTGGTGTTCAAATAAGAGGTCGAATGGTCTGTGTTCTAATGGCTCTTTTGTAATGATTACCACCCACTTTTGTCCTTGCATTTAAAAGAGTTTTATTCAGTTTGTTGAGACAAACTGCAGAAAAAAGTAACAGAGATAAGAGAGAGGAAATTATGGGTGAGAGAAAAAAAAAAAGGCTTGGTTAGAAGGATTGAAGACATGAAAATTAAGGCGTCTAAAATGGACTCCAGGTTTTGCTTTTGGTAACAACTGTGTACTCAACCCCTCTATAGCTAAAAAACTGAAAACAAGAAGTGTTTTGTTTCTCAGGGGAAAGATTGAATGTCAACACTAAGTTATAAAGTTGGATGGTTAGACACAGCCCTCATCTTTGCAGCTGGAAGGATTATCAGATCTTAGGGGTTCCTAGTGAGAAGATGGACTCCCCCTGCTAGCTCCCTTCCCTTTCTCAGGTTTCTGAAGTATAAGAAAATATGTCCCATGTTATCAATGGTTCAGATGTAATTCAACCAGGCAAATCCACAAAGTAACCATCTGCCCCTGTGGTATGATGTGAGGATGGCAAAAGGCCCACTTGACTAAAAATATGGCCCTCCACTGAAATTCCTACCCTAACAAGCATTTTCCTTTGTGTTTTTCTTTTTAAAATGTATATTAATTAAACGAATAATTCATTAGTACCTTATTTTTTAATTTATTATTTTTTGAGAGATTTTTACTATAGGGCATTTGTGCTCACCAGAGAGGCAGAAAGTGAGAAGTCACCTCTCAGGGGGGATGGTTGCACTGCAATCCCTTCTCCTCCATTTTCCCCTCAGGATTTTGGGCATGCATGCACATGCACCTGGCGTGAATTTTAAGTCACCATGACCGGGACTTGAACTGTGGTCAAGTACATGGGAGTTCAGCAATGTAACCATTACGCCATCTGCTGGACCCCATTAGTACTTTATTGTTTTGTTTTGTTTTGCTTTGTTTTGTTTTCTGGTAGAGGTTTTTGCTATAGGGCACGTGCGCTTGCCAGAAAGACAGAGAGACAGAGAGATAGAAAGTTAGAAATCGCCCCCCCAGAGGGGATGGTCACATCACAATCCCTTTTCCTCCATTCTCCTCTTGGGATCTTGGGCATGCATGCACACGCGCCTGGCATGAGTTTAAGCCACTGGATCTGGGACTCGAACCGTGGTCAACTACATGGGAGTTCAGCGACATAGCCATTACACTAACTACTGGTCCCAGTACTTTATTGTTTTAAAGATTCAGAACACACAGGGATAACTAGTTAATGAGTTAACATACAAATTTGTTCGGCTGTAGAGATGTTCATTGTGACATGACAGACTTGACAAGAAATTCTGAATAAAGGTAAGACCAATGAGTGAAATTAATAGTTGGGAGAAACTGAAAAGGAAACATCCAGCTGGGTGTTCCATTAAAGCTACCGGGGAGGCCAGCAAGGTAACCACTGTGTGTTTGTGGGAGTGAAAAGAAAGCTTCCTGTGGAGTTGGGGGCAAGGGGTTGTCAAAGACAAACTTTGTGTACTTCCTTAGTTTTGCCAACTTGGTCATTGCAACCTTGCCTGATTGGAATGAGTGGGACCACAGAATGGATAAGAGAGTTTTAGAAGTAGGTCTAGACCTAAGTATAGACATCACAATGGAAGGAAAGAACAGAGATGTCAGGAACCAGATGTATGGCCGAGTTCTTATTCAAACACTAACCAGACCTTGAGCAAGTCGTGGCACCTCTCTGGGCATGAACTTCCTCGCATGTAGAATGTACCATGAAGACCTACATTGAATGTGCTAAAGGGCCAAGCACCAATCTAGGCACATGATCAATATGATTGTCCCTTTCCTGGAAAAGTTGTTATCAGGCGAGTCTTTGCTCATATAATTTCATCTCACATGCTATTTTTAAAAGTTTATGGGTAGAGGCCAGCACATAGTGTGGTTAAAGTGCGGGATTCCCACATGGCCGACTGCAGTTCGAATCCTGGTCCTAGTGTCTTGAAAATCATGCCAGGCAAGTGTGAGCATGTGCCCCAAATCCTGAGCACAGAAGGTATTATGGTGTGTCCATCCCCCATGGGGTGTGATTTCTCACTTTTCCTCTCTCTGTGCCTTATGTTAAAACAAAATAAAAGTTTGGGGGCTAGCCAGTGGTTAAGACATCTAGATCTCACATGGCCAGCTCCATCGTTCAAGTCCTTCACCCTTGGACTAAGAGACATTCTGGGCATGTGTCCATGCATGTCCAAAAATTCTAAAAGGAGGGAAAAAAATGGAAGACCAGGGTTGCAGCATCACCATCTCCCACATACGCACACACACATAGGGTGCACACACCCTTTGGCAGAGTTCAAAAATAAAGTTTGATATTTAAAAGGAATAGAGGCGACTCCTTCAAGTAATGAGAATTTATTTG